CTATTTACAGACTTGAGGTGATAGAGTTTCGAACAGTACAGCATATTTAAATATCCTATTTAATTTTCCTGGAAGAGCAACAAGCTGTGTCATAGATGGTTGTTATCAAACATGTTTTGTCTTGCATGCAGCATTACTATTTTACTTGGCAATCCCGTGTATTGAAGATTAAGATGCCTTTTTCAACCAGAGCCTCCTTTCCTTTTTGACCAGGAATACTTTTCATCCTATTGTGAATACCGTTTTCATGATTGTAACGCTAATCTAGGAAACCTTTGTTTAAAAAATAGGGCTGGTTTGAAAACCCTAATATGAATCAGACAATAACATGGCTTGCTAAAAGAACTCTCATTCTATGGTTGATTTTAAATGCCCATAAATAAAGACTGGGTCGCCTAGTCCTGCAAGCCCTTCTGTTTCATTCAGTGAACGTTAAAGCGGTTGTTTGACTGCACAGCGATGTTGGCAGGAGCAGTGCTTGAGTGCACCTTTCCTAGTGCTCAACGCTTGGATGGTTCTTGACCATTCACAGAGCTGCCTGCAGTTCCTTAATTAGAAACAGATGTCCTAAATGAAAAGGATGATTAGAGCAATGTTAATGGTGCAACTGCTAATCGCAAATTTCTGCCTGTATTTTGAAGTTCAGTAGGATAGGTTTTTGTATGCATAAAGAAAGCAAATTTCTAAATTGTTGGCACACAAGTAATTACACAGTGTGATAAAACGTTATGTTGTTTTGGCTTGAAAGATGTCAGTTCCTGATAGTAACAATATTCCTGGAAGGTACTTAAGTAAAAGACTTGTAAAGGATTTTAAGAGTTTTTCCATGTGTATTTGTGTGTGTGTGTATGTAGATACGTATGTGCACCCATCTGCACTTGCATATGACTGTAGGAAAATTCTAAAACCGATGCAACTGTGCTTGTGGATGATTTATTTCAGATCTGCTGAATTTTCTGATTTTTTTTAAAAAGCTGCTTTTTTTTTTTGATATTTGCCTGACCTGCAGGAAAGGAGCCCCTTGGGAAATCAATGTAAAATTCTAATAGATTGTTCTCCATTTGTGTATACAAGAATGGACAAAAACTACCCCAGAAAATGCCTGCTTCTGCTAAATAACAGTTAATATCATTGCTTGAAATTTATGTTAATATTTTTCATCTTTTTAATAGTACTTCTTGTTGGTTGCTTTATTGGCATTAACTTAAGAAAACAACTTTATTTGTAAAAGTTTCTGTCATCTCAGAAAGCATAGCAGAAACATAACTTATAATCAGCATCTGGACAAACTGGTTTCAGCTGTTGTGTATTTTGATTTCTGGAGGTTATATCTTTTCCCATTTCGCCTCCTTCCCCCAGTACATACCTCATGAATCTACAAATATATCTTTGTTTTGCTATTCATCAGATCAACATTTCCATTCTCGCCTTTTCTGAAACTTCAGTTCTGCTTACTGCCTTAGAAATTCCTTCTCTCTTCCAACACTTCTGTCTACTACACCTCTCTCTGATAACTTTTACTTTCTCTCATTTTCTGGCTTGCTTTAGTCCTTTGTTCAGCCACATAATTCCAATGAATTTGTTCATTTTTAAGGGTTTAGCGGCCACCTCCTGGTCAGAAACAGTATTATATAGGTATATATTTATAACTATATTACCGTTTTGGTTTGTGTCAGGAGTATGTTTTTGAAGTGAATCTTTTCTTAAACCCTGCTCACTGCATTTTGGTTCACTTCATGGAGCAGTCTAGGAGCAATCCCAACAGGTAATGGGTGTTCAGTCCACAGGACCGGACTAGGCTAGCTGTTCAGGTTAAAAGCTGCTGGAAGTGTATAGTGCAGATGTCAGATCTTCAGTGCCGGCTCTCAGTCTACAGATGCTTTTCTGCTGGTGCGCACCACTTCCTCATGCAGATGTGGCCTCTGCTGCCCTGACGCCTGTTGCTTCCCT